GAGACAGGGTTTCTCTGTATAGCCCCAGTTGTCCTGGAACTCACTCTGTAGACTAGGCTGGCCTTGAACTCAGAAATCCACCTGCCTCTGCCTCACAAATGCTGGGATTAAAGGCATGCGCCACCACTGTCCGGCTTAGATCCAACTTCTATATAATTAATGAACTCATGTACAGTTAAAATTGCAGAACTGAGTATTTTTTTTAAACTGAGTATTTTTTAAGTGCACAATAGTACTTATTTGCTTTCCTTGTACCTTTGCCCATAACTCAGTATCTTTTTCATTGGAAATAGTTAAAATGTGCACTGCAATGTCAAAGTGTGAACAAAAACTAAGTATTTAATTCATAAACCACAGTGCTAACAGCAATTATATGTTTATTAGATTGCAGTCTGAAAAAATGTTTTCACTGAAATTCTTCCCCATGGCCCCAAATTGTCAAACCAACAAAGTTATGTGTACTATGTGCAATGTACCCTCTATTGAGTACATTTTGAGAGAGATTGGTAAATAAAATCTCCTATGTTGTAGAATTATTTCTGAGAATATTGACCATACTGTGGATAGATGGGCTTTCTGAATCTTTCTTCAGGTCATAAAGACAAACAAACAAAAAAATGCAACAAGTTGTAGAGCAAAAGCAAACAAACATAAAAAAAACTAGCTGAATGGTCATCAGGCTTTTTTAGTTCTATAAAGATGTACAGGATTAATAATATGTTTCATAACATTAGGTATGTTTCTATCAAAACTGCTTTGTTAAATGGTCCCCACAGACTATAGGTGGGCTGTGAATTACACAAATTCATAGTGAAGGATAATGCTGAATTGTACATAATGAACCAACTTATTTTGGGGAGCTGCTATTTGTTCACTGGCTAACAGTGAAAAGGTGAAGTCATTAAAAGATACTGAGGTCATTGTTATACTCTGATTAAGAGTAAATGAAAGGCTCATAAACTCAATGAAAAGAGGATCAATGAGTAGCACTGTCCATGCATAAGCAATAGACTTGGACTTAGTGATAATTCCTAATGAAAGTACAGTCTCTTCAGAGGAAGCACAGCTGTTATTTCAAAATTAAATATTTATTGACATACTATTTCAGAGTGAAGAGGGATGAACAGGTATTTCATGTGTTCAACAAATTTCTGAAAAGGAGACCATAAAGAACTAAGAGCAGAAAAATGTTTGATATAGCTGAGTTGTTTCCTACTCCTTATTTCAAAAAAATCAGTGATTTTACAACATTCTGGAAAAACAGATTTGGGAATTCAACTGTGTAAAAGCAATATGGTCCATTACAGAGATAAACTCAGTACATCTGTGTTGCTAGAACATTGATGCTTGTGAATTAGGTTGTTAAATGCAAGAATGAGAGACCAATTTAATATGTTTTGTTGTCATTTTATATCATCCCTTATCACTATAAACTATACCTCTCTCCTTGAAGCTAGCACATTAAAAACACTGGAGGTTGAGTTTCAAAGACCCTCAAACAGGTCGTTCATTATTAATGACTCCAATGCCATCGAGCTTAATTGACTTGCCCACAGAAGTGACTAATGTAATTTGTTGTTTATAAACAATCGTAAAGGGAAACATTGAGTTTTTCTCCTATCAGCCAGCATTCTTTACATAGCAACAGTGTCCCCAGAAATAGGAGGGCCAGAAAAAAGAACAAGGAACAAGTTGAATATATTAGTGCCATGCCCAATCTACATATGAATTTGAATATGTTAATAAATAAGAAAAACTAATATTGGTTTCATTTATTCTTTGAAAACTTCATATGATATATTTTATCATATTTTTTATCATTCTACAACTTCTTCCAGATATATCACACACA